TGTTGGCAGAGCGAGAAACATATGCAGTCTGTAACGGCAGCTATATAACTTAGTCAGCTGCTAGCTTCTTAATGATTCTGGCTAATTCCTCAACATTTAACATAATATGGATATCAAAATTTGTAAAAGTTGCAACAATGCATTCATCTATTGCTTTAGATCGATATTTGAAGGACRGAGAATACAGGCTCTAGTTAGGACCAACAAGTTGTCTCTCTTCATTTGGTTCTTTTCCCGCATTTTAAACGGTTGTAAATTCGAACATATTCTCTCACTTTTTGACTCTCTAAACAGTAAAAGAAGGTACTAATAACGCTTTATCTTGCATTTTYCCCCCCAAAGAACCCGAGGAAGCTCCAGTTATCATAAAGGTTGAAACGAAAACTTTTCAATCCGTGACCATGGAATGGGAGGTAAATACTTCATTGTCAAAATTAAGATCATCATTTGCTAGAGAAAACGTAGAAACGTTCTTGCTTTTTATATAAAAKTGTATTATATTGKTWTTTTTCGKTTTTTTTCATGAATTTCAATTTAGCTAAAACATACGGATTTAATCAATGGYCCATTCAAGGGATATATGATAAAGTACACACCACAAGGAGGAAATACAAAGACGACTGAGGTGGTTCGTAAGGTGTTTATGAAATACACAACGCATACTCTGAAATCACTACGAAAGTATACACCTTACAGTTTCAGTGTTGCAGTAATGAATGAAAGGTTCACTGGTCCATTTAGTACAGAACAGCACACACGGACGATGGAAGATAGTAAGAATGCTTATCGTAATAATTTCTTTTTTCCCCTTAAATTGATCAGGAATTTTATGAGCAAAAATTAGATAGAAGCACAATGTAATGCGTGATGCACAGAAAGCGCCAAAGATYACATTTGAGCCTGCGAATGCAAATCGACTTTGGGTTTGCATGCTGAATTTAATGTCTTCAACACCTATACAATTTTACATGCACTTTAGTGTGCATTGRCATTCAATATACTTGCTTAATCCAATTTTTTAGATTTCCTATGAAAATAATCACACAAAAAACCCACACACACACACACA